GGAGGGGGGGTGGGGGGGGGGGAGTACTTTTATGTTTTGCATGCCTCAGCGGTTAGACCATTGACCACGCGTCCTCGAGAGGACGGAGCATTGTTCCCACAGGACCGATCACCGATGGCCAATCGTTCCTTCCTGCTTTGCCAAAGGTGGCTCGAAAATGTATTCCCTAGTCTGTCTATCCTAACGAAATCCCTTCCCGCCTCTTCAAACCACTTCCTACTCCCCCGTACAGCTACCGTCCTCTCCTCTCTATTCCATGCCTCAAACATCTCCCTGTATGTCCCTTGCATTTTCCCCAGCTCAGTCGTGTACACTTCCCTCTCCTCTTCGTACCACGAACATTCCGCGACTACATGAACACGGTCTTCGCATTCGAAGCCGCAATCACATTTGAACTTGTCGTCTTCGTCGTCTACCGTCCCATGCCTTCGTCGGCGTTCTCGAAGGCCTATGTCCCCGGTCCTGAATTTGACCTTAAGCTTTGTCCCTGCATTCATTGGTCGATGTAGGTAATCCTTGAGCCCTATTCCTTCTTTCAACATTCCGTACACTTCTAGACCCTCCTTATCCTTGGTTTCTTTCCTTAGATTCTGTTTTTCTCTCTCTCGGCAGAAGCAACAGATATCTTCTCCTTGAACCGCTGTAGACCTTCCGTTTCCAGCGTTTCATCTTCGTCGATGTCTAACCCCTTCCATACGTCCTCTACAACCTTGACCCATTCCGTGGGTTGTCTACCCCTCTTTTTGTTTGCCCACTTCGCCTCCCATACTATTCTCGGCAACCTCTCCTCTCCAATCCCGCACATGCGATACTCTCCTTGCGTTTCTTCCCGGCCGTAGGGATTGGATCCCCAGTTCTGCCCTGACGGCTGCATTACTTGTGCGCTTGGAGCATCCTAGGTTTTCGCTGCTTCCATCTGCGCCGCCTCGAGTTCTTTCACTACCTTCTTATTTCGTTCCCATACTTCTCCGGCGTACTCTAGCGGCGGTACGATTACGCTCTTCAAAACCGTCAATTTGATGCGTGTATCGAGGTGCCGGTTTGCGAGTATTGGGTGCAGCTTCCCTGCTCGTGCTCTGCCCTTTTCCGCTACCTTGGACATGTGTGCATTCCACGAGAAGTCTTTTGCGATCTCTACTCCGAGGAATGTGTACTGGTCCACTACTGCAATCTCCTCGATCCCCCACTTCCATGTGTGTTCTACTGGTTCCTCCCTGACCTCGTTGCACACCATGACGGCACTCTTCTTAACGTTGGCAGACAATCTCCACTTATCGGTAAACTGCTTCGCCGCGTCAATTTGTAGTTGCAGTCCCTCAGGGGTGTCCGACATACCAACAAAGTCATCCGCAAACAGCATTCCTAACACCGAAGTTTCCGTGTCCCCTACTTTGACTCCCTTCCGGACTGCCTCTACGACTTCCAACAGATCGTTGATGAACACCTGGAACAATGCCGGGGACAGCGTGCAACCGTGTGGGACCCCCTGCTCAATGTCGAAGAATTTAGACAGTTATCCGTCTAGCATGACCGCGCTTTGCGTACACTGTGTCATCTTCTGCAGCACTCTCCACATTTTCCCCTTGATCCCGTTTTCGGACAATTGTTCCCACGGCCCATTTCTCCATACGGTATCGTATGCCTTTTTCACGTCCAGGAAGAAGCAGTACGTCGGCTTTCTCGCCCTCTTTCTACCTTGGATGATTCTCCCTACCGTGAATGCGTGGTCTACGCACCCCCTCTTCTTTCGGAAACCTGCCTGGCCCTCACTAATGCTACGTTCCTTCTCCAATACTCCCACTATCCTATCGTTCAGCAGCTTACAAAGCACTTTTCCTACTGTGTTGAACAGTGTGATACCCCTGTAGTTTCCTGGGTCAGTCTGTCTCCTTTCTTAAACAAGTTCACAACCACTCCTTCCCTCCATCTACTTGGCGCATACTCGTTTTTCCACACCCAGTTGTACAGCAGTACCATCAGCTGGATCATCCCCTTCCCCCCAAACTTCATGAACTCGTTGACTATCCCATCCGCCCCTGCTGCTTTGTGGCACTGAAGCTTGTCCACACACGCCTCAACCTCTTCCTCAGTGAACTCCTTTTCTAGTTGTACGTTCCCAACGTCTGCCTTCGATGTCTCTTCTTCTTTCTGGGCCCATGTGTCCACCTCCTTCTTAAACACTTGGTCAATAGCTTCATTCTCCGAAGGCACTCCAAGTCTCGTGTAGTGTCCTGCTAGAACTTCCCTTTTTCCCTTCGCACTGCTGACTAGCCCACCGTTCACACCTCGAAAAGTTGCTACGCCTGTATCCCCCCCTTGCGCGGTCTTTTTTACCATCCCACTAATCCCTTTCCGCATCTGCTTGACGTTCCCCTCCAGGCCTCCGTTGGCCTTCTGCACTACTTCGTCCCAAATGCACTTTTTCTTCTTTTTCACTAGTCCCTTCACCTGTTTCCTCTTGGCCCTGTACTTTTCCCAACTCTCCTCAGACCCCTCACTCAGGTACTGCTTGAAGACTTCTCTACTTTCCCCTATTTATTCTTTCAGCTCGTCATCCCACCACGTAACCGATACCCCACATCGTACCACCTTCTTTCCCACTATTCTCTCTGCCGTTGTGTTCACTATGGACTCCCATCCTTCAATCACCCTGTCCCCTGCTGCTTGTACGTCTACCTGTCCGTCTTCGACGCTTCTCAGCAGTTTCCTGAAGGGTTCTGGAATTCATCCCGTGTCCCCCCGTCTCCCAAATGCTCTACTTTCCACCGGAACACTTTTCTCTGTTTCTTACTCTCCGCCTTTCTAGATCGGTCGATGTTTGCCCATATGATGAAGTAGTCGGTCGAACCTATACCTATCGCACTTACGTGCAGCTCTGGGATCTGTGTGCTCCCCCTATCTACCAGGAGTGTAGTCGAGGATCGAGTATTCATTGCAAACTGCCCTTTGCCTGGTGAACTCCGGCTTATCGCATTCCCTCCTACCGTTCAACACCATCAGCTCGTTGCTTCCCAAGAATTCAAGCATCCTCACTCCGTTGTCATTCACTTTGTCTTCTCCGTGCTGCCCGATCGCCTGTCCTCTACTGGAAGCTTTCCTTACTATGGAGTTGAAATCGCCCACCATGACAACTTCTCCCTTCCTACTGAGCCTCTGGATATTTCCCCAATTTGTCCAAAGTTCTCGCGCGTCTTGCTTGCGACTTTCTTCGACGACGGTGGGACGTATACATTCCCTAGAAACAAATCTTTCTCACCCCGCCCCCCAGGTATCTTACGCCGTAGGCTTTCCTCGAACTCCGTTTTCACCACTACTTCCACCACGTCAAACAAGTGTTCCTTGACCAGGAATCCGACTCCCCTTTTCTTCGGGTCTAAGCCCTTTCTTGCCTTCCCTACCCAGCGGATTTCCCTAGTTTTCTTACCACGTCCCCATCCATCCTTCAGTTCCCACGTCTCTTGGATCCCCACTACATCTGGTGAGGGGGAGGGGGGGGGGGCGTTTCCTCATGCTTTGCATGCCTTAGGCGTTGGGGCGTTGACCACGCGTCCTCGAGGGAGGACGGAGCATGAAGGAAAGCGACAACAAAGCTTACCCATGGACGAAAAGCAGCCACCAGTCGACCGTCTCGCTGCAATTTTGACTACGGCTGGTTTATCCTTGTGTGCTGCATGCAGCGAACGCTCGGAAGCAAACATAAACATCCCTTCCCCGACATTTACATTTCTGTCGTTTTATTCTGGCGTGGTATGGATTAGCTCTTGCCTGGCTTGCTGACCAACATGCTTTCCAAAGAAGCAAACGTTTTTTTTCAATTGCTCGCATCAGGCATGTGGTAGCTGTGGTGCTATCGTTTTCCCGAAGGCGCCATTTCAGAATCGATCTTAACTCCCATCACTCCCGTGGCCCCGTACTTCCACATCTGAACACGAACCTGTGATTGCGTCAGGTTGATCCAGGAGGGATCGCGCCCGCGTGGATTGTCAACAAAATTAGGTGAGAGACGAATGAGCGGAGAGGTAACGGAAATGCATGTGGTTCTGTACTCTCTGGGTTTGTGGGTCTGTTGGACGGACACAATAAATGGTTTATCTACCGGACAGCATGTAGCAGCGCCAAACGCGTCGAATTGCAGGCCCGGTTGTGCAGGGAAACTCAGAAGGTGTCCTGCTATTGGGTATGAGTTTGATCCGTACAAAACGCTGCAAAGGACGGGTAGTCAATGCGCTTCCCGCGGAAACATACAAGAATTTAAAACCATTCTCCCACGGACGTTCGTATCCTTCTCCTTGCCTTGTCTTTCATCCGTAACTTTGTAGCGCCCACGATCCTGTGGACTTTCTCGAGAGGGTAGAAACAGCGGCTGGTCGTTCTGAGTCGGCGAAGAGATCCCGCAAGCCGAAAAGCCCGCCGCCAGCAGTCTCGAGCAGCAGCGACGTTTCGGCGCAATCACCAGCGAAACACTCGCCTGCAGGGGCCAAGGAGAGGATCGATAACGGGGGCAAGCTCAGCGAAAGGAGACGGTGACCATGCTGGGTTTCCCGGAGGGCAAGGAGGTCCCTACCCATCGGGGTGCCTGCGATTGATTTAGGGGCAGGACTTCGCTAGAGAACTACCGTGGTCAACCAATAAGCACCTGGTTTGGAGCTGCAAGCAAGGTGCCGTTCGCGAAACAGCCAGCTGTGAAACGAGCGAACCCACCGAGAAGGCACTGAAAACATTACAGAGTCAGCGGTAGCCTTATATATGACTGACGGATCGATACGGTCACGATGGCCGTGGCGTTTGGGAGTGTTTGATGAGCGCACCGGCCGCATGGCAGTTCCGTCAACATACATAATTTGGATGGTGTGTTCATGTTGTACAGCAGACGATTCGTTTTCGAACGGCCCCCTTCATCTCGCAGCTGCTTGTTTGCACGCAACGTGCAGCAAAGACCACATGTACGAATATTTAAGGAGGGAAAAATTCACTATTGAAATTCACTCGTAATGTAATGGGGAATAAAACTGTTGCAGTGGACGCCGTTTTTGAAGTCGTTCTTGCAGCTGGTTTCCCGCACGGCGTGGCCGTTGGTTGTGCGATGCCCTCGATGTGAACGTTGTACATGTTGCGTATACGTGAAAGTACCTGGAGTTGTATCCCACGCAGTATCCTCGGTGTATATTTCGATGCTGCGTTTGTACGCATAATGCTTCGATGAAGGGGGAAGGGTTGGTAGTCGAATGCTGTTGTCCGTGTGATGCGATAACATGTCACACAATATTCGTTTGCAAACATTTTATGGAGACGTGAAGCTATCATGTTGTGCATGCGTGGAATCGCCTGAGCCATCAAGCGTACGCGGGCTGCAGCAAGTTGTATAGTAGTGATGTTACCGAGTTTACGACCGATGGGCGGGAGGGAACTGCGCCACCATTGGTGTTGGTGAAATACCGTTCTGGCCTGCATTCATTACTTTGTCGCTAAATGTTCGTCAGTAGGACAAGCACTTCCTTAGGCCGCACCGCTCGAGAAAACACTGCTGTACGAGAAGCACGCATTCGGGCGTGGTAGACAGGTGCTGGGAAGGTATACAGCCCTCAGAATTCGGAAGTACAGACTGCTTGTCTAGGTGTGGCGTCACGGGTCTGTTTCTTCTTTGTTGGCTGTGCCAAAGGTCGCGGAGTGATGGTTTGGTGTACGTGGAGTGTCGTTACTGCATGCTACCAGGTGCGTTTGTCGCCTGCAAGAATCGCAAATTTGTGGTTCGAGCTCTCGCAAGAGAGAGAGAAAATAGGTGCCCGCAATTTTCTGATTGGACAGTTTTTTTGAAAGGAAATTTCTGGGTTGGCGAAAATTCCCTGGTCGACATGTGACGTCAGCCACAACGGGTTCACTTTTTTCTCTCTCTCTAGGCTTGTGATTGCCGTTCAGACAGGGAAAGGGTGGACGGGCGGTAGGTTTCGCGAGGCATTGTTACAGGGTGTTGCATGCACCGGTTACTGACGGGGGGCACTGTAACAGTCAAGCGGCAGAATGAGTTCGTCGCTTGTGTCGGACTGCGGGATAGATGCATCGCTTGTGTGCGTGCTTGTCCGCCCGATGCAGGAGGAAAAATTCCGAAAAGAATCTAGCGGCCTCATTTGCGTTGCTGTGACTTGAAAAGAGTGACATTTGTCGTCTTTGGGAATCGTGAGCGCTTGCCACACCGACCGCAGGCACTAAAACGTCAATCTGCGACGTCGCTCCTTCACGAAGAATCGAGGTAGGGCGCAGGACTTCGACGCAAGACGCAGGACTCCGAGGCAAGATGCAGGCCTCGCCAACCGCGACCGACAAGTTCGGCCGTACAAGGAATGAGAGTTGCCTGTGTGGTACAAGCATGGCAACTCCTCGACGGAAAATATGTCGGAAAGAAAAAGAAAGATTTCATCGCATCCCCTTCGACTGCGATTTTATGTCTACCACGGGCAGTATTTTCCGTGAGATGGAACGCACACTCTCTGAAAAAGAAAAGAAAAGGAAGGCTTCTGATCTCCGCGACAAAGCGGAGGGAGACTCTCGAGTCAAGGCTTGAATTGACGATTGAGGGCGGCAGTGCCCTCGGAGTGAAAAACCCGCTCGATAGCTTTTCCACTGGCACTGGCACCGCGAAGTCAACCCGCTTCCGGCTCGCATTGCCAGGAAAAGCAATGCGAATCAAACGCTGAAACTCGAGGAAACTATCTCACCATGCCAACAGACTTTCCAGCTGGTTCATTCGATGGTCTGGAGGAGGAACGCAGCTTATGTGGACGCTTGGCACCATTCTGCGTCATCTCGAGGTCTCATCCTGTTGTTTGGTATCACGCACGGGGATTCCACCCCACCGCCTTCAAAGAGTTGGTAGCACGCAAACTGCCACTATTCCGGCTTGCCTGATCGAGACCGCCTACCCGCCCAAACAGGAGGATAATTCGATTTCACTCCCGACAAGAAAACTATCAGATTCCGACTTAACTCTTCACGTTGACCTATCTAGCAGAACAGTCTACTCCCCCCTGGTGTCGCGATACTAGAAGCGGCTGCGATGAGATAGCAGCAGCGTTTACGCGTCCACACGTCGAACTTGAATTCCGACTCTTGTGATACTATTATAATATGTTTTGTCCGACTCTGTCCCGCCTATTTAAGACTATTGCGTTCTCCGCTAGCCAGTTTACCCCCATCCACTTTCTATTAGCGAGATGTGGGCTCCTCCGGCACCGCGTGCTCGCGAGGCGGATGCAACCTTCACACCGCACCACGGCCACCAACACCACCACGGCCACCCTACCAAAAATATTGCCCCGCCAAACAAATGGTGCTCCTACCGCACACCCAGGGTACATATTCTTTTGCATGCGGTCTCCCCCCACAAAGCAGTGACGCTCAACCAAAAAGGCGACCGCGCCCATCCCTACACAACCGGACCCCTCCTCTGCTCGCGCATCAATATCGCCACCGCCCTGTCTGCGATCGCCCCCCCTGCAGCTCTCGTCGTCGCTGCGCCGCCCCCGTGGGTTCTTCTCGCAGCCACCTCCCAAACACAACATCGCTCGCAAAGAGCATCACCTGTGGTTGTGACAAAAAAAAAAACAGCAATGGGATTTAGTAATTTCGTCGATAGTATATATGCCAGACACATTGGTAAGACGTACAGTAATGCAAACCTACGACACAACCGGGCGTTGCAAAAACAATATCTTGGTCAACCCCCAGAGTCCGATATGCCCGTCGAAGCTAGGCGCATACATACCGCAATCCTTCCGTGATGGTGCACACAACGGCGACCCCGCATTTTCGACGAACCGGTCTCAACGTTTTCACTACGGCATTCCCTACGAGGGGCGACGAGGAAGAGCACAACAGTGAACATTGACCACTGGGGAAAGGTGGGACAACAAGAGAAAAAATACGTTATCTTCCTCCTGCAGTACAGGTAAAAAATATTCACCAGATATTTACCGCAAAGCGTAGACTGGCGCCGGACCAGATGGGGCGACACCACACAACACACATCTTGAGCGCCGCGCATCACTGCAGAGCCAACGAGCTCAAGTTAATCCGAAATTGCGACGCAACAAGTCGGTCTATAACCATGTACATGCTGGAGCGGTCAGTTAGATGGAACTTCGCGCTGGTGGCGGTGATGGCCGTCGGCGTTACCATGCCAAAAATCAGGGCAACTTGAAGTCTCCATACCTTCCACATCCCTTCCACACCCCCATGGTTACCACCCACCGTGCCCCAAGGGCTTGTCGGCAACTACAGTCGGGCAGACCCTGGCCGCAATTTCTCCAAACTCGCCCTACAGCACATATCAAAGCGAGACATGCACACATACCCGCATATACAGGCGCATTGCACCTGAGGGGTATGTCTTAGCGACTGTCCTCAAGCGCGAGGAAACCTAACGGCACAACTCACCCTATGATGCAACTCCCAAGAAGGGGTGAACCCCGCCTGCCGGATGATCTGTAACCGCGGTCTTAGCCGCCTCTCGAGGCTCATCCCCAGAAGCCTCGGTTGCTTTGTCACGGCCTCTCGAACCTGTAGGATTTACGCCCAATGACAAACACAAAGAAAGAGTATGTGCACGAAACAAGGGCTGTAGGTGGAAAGGGCAGAAAGAAACTTCTAAGAGCATTGGGGGGTAGGGGCCCAAAATAGTCGTGTATCCGGTATGGAGTGGGACGAGGGCGAGAGGTTTCCCAAAAGAAAAAATGTCCGAGCGTACTTTTTCGCGGCCCACAGGTGACGCCTGGCCGTTTGTCGTCCTTTGCAGTTAGTAGCTCGTTCAATGCAACTCAAAAGAAACGAACACATGAAAATGCAAAGACGCGCGCACACACGGGCGGCGGCTGATGCAGTTTCTTTGGTCGGCTGGCTACGTGGCGCGACCGATGCGGAGCAAAAGCAACACACGCGACACACCACTCCACGCATACGGTACACACCTGCTGCCTTGTCGCCCCCAGCTCGTCCAAAAAGAACTCCAGGGTCGGAACCTGTTGGGTGAAACAAGAACCGCGAGAAAATTCAGGAAGCTGTATCACAACACGCCAAAGGTGCACAAGTACCCCAAGATCTGCACCGAAAACAATAACCAGAAGACGGAGGTCGAGAAGTTATCGGAGAAAGCACGTCGGAGGGGACGACCTTTTCAGAATTTCTTGCTTGACTAGACCAGAGTAGAACGCTCCTCCTATCCCTCTCTCTCTCTCCTCTCTCACTTCCCCGTTTTTTGCCTCTCACCAGATTTCTTTCCGCGCTGTAGGCCAACACGGAGGGACATCGCACGAACACTTTCTTGACCTCGATGTGGTCCAGCAGCAGCTCCTCCTCCAACCACCGGGCCTTCCACGCCATGTTCTTCAAGCTGAAGTTGAACAGCTGGCACAGCAACGGACGCCCGGGACACAGACGAGGAGAGGGGGGTGAAGAACAACCCGCACCGCAAAATGTAAACAGGAGTGCAACAAGAACAAGAACAACGACGACAACAACAACGACAACAACAACAACAGCAACAATGACAACAGCAACACCCGCCACCACACCTGAGGGTACCGAACCAGCATGGGCCCGATCCCGTCTCTGCCAATCCCCAGCCTCCTCTCGAAGAAAATAATCTTGGGCATGAAGTTGGACGGCACGCTTTTGACCAGCAACTGCGGGCACGAACACACCACCTTCCGCGCCTGCGGGGACCCCGGAAATGCGGTGGTGGGGGTGGGGTAGACCATGCGTGATGTAACGGGTGCTTCAAACACGAATGGTTTGTCCAAAATTGTTACTTCCAAAAATTTCGTGTGAGTTGTCGCCGACACGGGTTGGGGGGGGGGGGGGGGGGCCTGATATGCGGGACTCCCCTCTCCCCTTGTGAGGGCCAAGTCGTTCTCCAGC